CATTTAGGATTGAGCCAAAAGACCCCAAAGACAAATTCTTCAGCACCCACTGGGGAAGGAGCAGTTACCAACATGACCCAATCCTGGCCAGGCAGGAAATTTCTGAAATTAGCTGCTTTCTCCAGATTTCTCTATTTAGATCACCTTCACTCAACTGCATCTTGGTTCAGTGTGGCTGACCCAGTTCTGCAGACTAAGCCAGGCACTTTAAAGAGTCCTGGCTTCCATCTCTCACCGCATGATGGTTGAGCCTTGGGTGAATCAGTGAGTGAGTCTCTCCAGACCTCAGGGTCTTCCTCCAGGACATATGGAGTTTCAGAGAGGAGCCTAGATTCCTTCCCAACTAGAAAATCTTCAAGTTCCCAATGGCTTCTAGAGCTTACCAGGCTCACACTTGCAATGCATTGGTCCATATAAGAGCAGGACAGAGTTTACTGTCTCTCCTCTGCAAAAAGCCCCCATGCTCAGCATGTCCCTTTCCAGCTATTGTCCCATTTCTCTGCCTTTTCACACCAAAATCCACCATCTCCTCACCTCTCAGTCTATTTTCCCCTCTAATTTTTTTTTAACTTCAAAAGTGCAGTAATGCATTCTTGCTGTGCCAAGCCCAATAATACAGAAGTATGTAAAGAAAAAGGCAGTACTTTCTCCAACCAACCAGCCAGGAGAAGTCAGAGATAACAGGGATGGAGCTGGACAGACTCCGTTTGGGCTTTTGTAAACTTAAACAGCCAGATACATTTGGAGTTTCTTCCTTGTCTTTCCTTTTTAAAAATGCTAACATGGAATTCTTCCCACATGCATTATTCTGCAGTTTGTTCTATCAACTTTTTTTTTTAAATTTGAAGTCTCTGTCACCCAGACTGGAGTGTAGTGGCACGTTCGTGGCCACTGCAGCCTCTACCTGCTGGGTTCAGGTGATCCTTCCACCTCAGTCTTCCAAGTAGCTGCAACTACAGGCGTGAGCCACCATGCCCTGCTCCAAATAGTTACATTTTTTTGTTGTTGATTTCTAGACATCCACTCTAAAAACAAGCTTTGGGATTGCACTGTTATCAAAGGTATACATGCACACAGCTTAACAAACCCAGTGGTTTCACAAGAACTACCTAGCTGACAGCAGTCTCCCACCCACCTCAATTGCTCTCTTCTCCCTCCCCCCTCCCTTGGAATATTTTGAGCAGATGATTTGGTACTTAATTCCACGTCCTACCCAACATGCTTTCCTCCTGCTTCTGTTCTTTTCTAATTCAAGCATTACCTACTGATATACCCTAGGCGGCTAAGGCATCTCACCCTCCACTTCCAGCATCTTCCTCATCATTTGTCCCTCCCCTCCTCCTGACAGAATCACGTTGTAGTTGTACTGGGACCGGTAGCCAGTGTTTACATTATTATGACAATGAAAAAGAAATAAATGGCTGAATCAGGTAATATTCAATGATTATGTTTTATTTCCTTCCCAGCTTTTTATTTTCCCTAGAGTTAACAACTGTCTTATTTTGTTGATGTTGCATTGTTTTTGTATGTACTTGTTTGGTGAAAATTCTCAAATGGTGTTTTCCCTCTGCTCTCACACCACCATCACAACAGTCACCAACACAGAAGACTTCTGCAACCAAACAAATGTGAATAGGGGTTTACACACACACCCCGCCTCAGATACCAGCTGGGCATCTTCCAGTTTAATTTTTACACTGTCTACCTAGAGGTAGCATCAGATTCCACAGACTGAGGGCTCAGTTCCCAAGACTGCCCCCCACTTCAGACACCAGTCACACGTCTGAGCCTCTGGAACTTCTGAGTGGTTTCAAGTTAGGGTTCCCACAGCCCCTAATTTAGGTGTGATTAATTTGCTGGAGTGGCTCACAGAACTCAGGAAAACACCTACTTACACTTATTGGTTTATTATGCAGAATATCACAAAGGATATAGATGAAGATATGTGTAGGGCGAGGTATGGGGGTAGGGATGTAGAGCTTCCATGCCCTCCCTTGGAGTTCCCCTCTCCAGGAGCCTCCAGATGTTCAGCTCTTCAGAAGCCCCTCCAAACCTGTCCTTTGGGTTTTTATGGAGGCTTCATTACATAGGCATGGTTGGCAGCTATGTAGAAGTGTGATTGGACAAAAGGCACACGATCTAATCCCTGTCCAGGCTTTTCTTGGCCTATGTAGCATTCCTTCTTCCGTGGTATGAAGGTCTTTTGGTCCACAATCAGATTAGAGTCCAGCCTCGGACAGGTGAAAGGAGGGCAGGAGAAGGTCAGAGAGAGCAAGTCTCTTTTCTGAGTCCCAAAATGCCCCAACATTATAACAAAAGACTAACAAAGGTTATGGGAATTATGAGCCAGGAACCATGGATGAAAGCTTATATATATGAAATATATATATTCATATCACAGTACTTTTCGTTAATTCAACCCCAAGTTTTATGACAATTGGTAAAGTCTCCTCACGGTATGTTCAAACACATCAGGTAATCTATCGATTTTGTCTTCTTGGAGAATGTACTTCTGACCTGCTGCCCACCAGCCTGGTGGTTCCTGACTCCCTGGAACTCCCCTCACCCCAGAAATCTCCTCCAGTCCTCTTCTGGGTAGAATGCCTGCTTTCTATTTCAGTCTTCTCCATCTTTGGTTCAATCCAGTAGTGCTGGAACTGCTTGCACGGCAGTCACCTCTTCCCAACTCTGCTCAGTGACTTCACGTTGTCAGCTTGAATCAGCCTTGGTGAGGGTAATTACACCAAGGAAATCAGCAAATGCTAAATATCAGAGTTCCTGTCTAACAGAGGACTGGCTGTTAGTCACTCATTATGTTGGTACTCATCTTCCAGTGGCTTCCAGAGAAAGAGTGAATGGGAAAGAAAAATTCTAAGACCGAATTCCATATCTGAAAATATCCTTATTCTACCCTCCAGGCTGATTTTTAACTGAGTATAAAATTGTCATTTGAAAATCTTTTCCTTCGAGAAACAAGCTACCAGGGGGTGGGGATATGGGGGGGAGTCTTTATGACCCTCAAAGTTGGAGAGCCACTTCTAATCCCCTAATGGCCTCTGCCTACTTATCCACAAAGCCCTGCAAAACTGCTGAGTAAAACAAATATTTAAGAACTGGATACTATTTCAATTGCACATGCTTGCTGAAGAACACTGAAAATGGCTCCACTACACATAGGAGATTCTAAACCTGCTAAGAGGGTTTGAGTCTCTGTTTGCTGGTATAAGATCGTCACAGGCCTACAAGGAGATGGTCCACATGGAAGTCCCTACACAAGCAAGCTCACCGTGAACTTACAAAGCACCATCCCATCCTCAGGCCCACAGGTAAGCTTGGGCCACCGGTTGCCAGTGGAAGGGGTGGGCAAAATCTCATGTAGCCTGTGCAATTCAGGCAGAAGTAACAAGGACATGGAGGAACCAGCAGGTAGATGACAAGCTGAAAGTCCTCCAGGGGAGCAGACACCATGAGGACCCCAAAAGGCCAAGAGAGGAGGACAAGTCCTGGCCAGGAGTTTTGGCATGGCTGGGAGAGACCTGATGAGAGAGCTGCTGCTGAGAGGGACCCACTGCAGATGGCCAGAGCAGGCCACAGAGCTTAGCCTACAGGATTTAGATCTGAGGATAACAGGGTCAGGTGTACTTGTTGTGGGGGCAGGGAGTCCAGGCAAGAGAACAAACTCAGGGTTTTACCAACGCATGGCAGTGCCCACAGCGGGGTAGTTAACATGCACAAGACCAGGACATTAGAGGAACTTGGTAAAGAGGAGCTGTGGTAACTGCCTGTGCCCTGTCCTGGTCTTCCTGTCCTACAAAGGGTACGTTCTGAGGTGAGGTGAGCCCCACATGAAATCTGAATGGGCTCGAGTCCCCAGAAACCTAGGGACATATGAAAAGAGGCACATTGCTGGGCAAGCTCTGCAGAGAGCAGTGCAGGCTCTGGAAAAAGTCCAGTTCTAGAAGTAGGCCCAGTTCTACAAGCAGGTGGTCCTAGAGGCAAGTCGGTTCTGGAAGTAGGTTCTGAAAACAGGTCAGTCGTGGAAACAGGTTCTGGAAGTAGGTCTGTTGTGGAAACAAGCAGGTACTACAAATGGATTCTGAAGGCACCTTTGTAAGTTCTATAAAACTGTTCTGGAATCAGGTTCTGAAAGCAGGTGGGTTTCAGAGGGAGGTTCTGGAAGCTGGTTCTGGATGCAGGCACGGTCTGAAAGGAGGCAGATTGAGGAAGGAGATTATGGAAGTATGACTATGACAGTGCCTTGAGCTGGGGCCTGGCCCGGTTCCTCCGCTCTGCTGGGCAAAGAGAAGAATGCAGGCATTGTCTAAGAACTCGCAGAAGCACTTGTCTCTAACAAAACCGTTAAAAAAAATTGTAAACATTTTTGGAACAATCCTCTTAGAGGGTCCCGTTGTCGGAGTGACGGGATAAAGCGGCGCGGGCGAGCAAACACCGAGAATTCCTGCAAAGGGAGTAAACGAGCGAAGCGCGCCGAGTCGGCCCGGTCTGCACTGACACAGCGCTGGACTTTCCGAGCTGTTTTTCTCTTTTTCCCTAACTTTTTCCGCACGTTCAGCTGCTGCAGCCCGATCTGGGCGCGGACGGCACGGCGCATGCGCAGTGCGCGCTGCCCGCCGGCCGCCCGGAGTTCGCGCCGTGGTTGCCAAGGGTTACCAAATTCCGGGACCCCGCGGGCGGGGCGGGGCTAGCTATCCGAAGCCCGCCTCCCTTTCACTCTGGTTGGCTTTAGTTGCTATCCGTCGGAGCAGTTACCACTGCCGATTGGGCAGCGGCTACTTTCGCATGCTGGGCCCGCGCCCTGCCCAGCAGCGCCGAGCCACCCCCGCCCCCCAGGAGAGGACAGTCCGGGATCCGCGAGGGTACCGAAGAGTCCAGCGGCCTGGGTGGTGCGGGCGGCCTCGGACCGCTGCGGAGCGCTGCCGGAGCTGTAGCCAGACAGACCCCAGGGACACCGAGTGCGGGAGTAGCCGGGCGGCGCGACGATGATCCTCGAAGAGAAACCGGAGGGCCAGGGTGCCGGCGAGGAGAGTGCCCGGCTGCAGGCGACCCTCAGCGTGCGCAAGGTGGGTCGCGGGGACCACGAGGCTGGCGGGGTGAGGTCGGCGAGCTGAGCAGGTCCCAGACCTGCAACTTCCCTCCCACATCTCACTTGCCCTGGAGGCAGGCCGGGCTTTAACGCTGGGGAAACTGAGGCCGTTGCCTACGTCCCTCCTTCTTTGGGGTCAGTGGGTGAAGAAGTTGACTTTCAGGCCACTTCTCTGCAGTTTGGGAATCGGTGGGAGCCAGAGTCTGGGTCATCATTTTCCCTAGAGCTAGGGAATGCTCCCCTCTCATGGCCCCTTGGCGGCAGGTGTTGGGGTCTTCTCTGTGATAGCCCCCACCCCCACCCCGGTTATGTTCATTTTTGGCACCTGTAACGCTATTTCCCCTAGCTTTTCCCTCCCTCTGTTTTTAGTAGCAGGCAGCTGAAGTCTCCTGGGTACAGGACATCGCTGGAAGTCTTCATGGCAGGGCAGTTTGTCCTCTTGTCACTTCCCCAACCCTCTTTTTCTCTAACTTTTTCCACACGTTCAGCTGCTGCAGCCCGATCTGAAGTCCCTAACCTGGGACGCTGACTGGGCACTGTTTCCAGAAGCACTGAGCATGTAGGTGTGGGCGGGGCGTGGAAACCTGTTGAGTCTGTACCTGGGAAGGAGGGGACGTCCTGTTTGCCTCGCTCTGCAGCCCAGAGCCTGAGTGTTCCCTTGGGATCAGCACAAGGCAGCCCCAGTGTTCAGGTCAGGCATTGGGCACCCATGCCCCACAAGGGCTTTCAGTCAGGGACTGCTGAGCAGAGAGGTAGCTCCTGCTCCTAGTCCCAGGTGAGCCTTCCATGACTTTTTGCCCTCCTCCCGTCAGACTGCACATTGTCCCTTGGCTGCTTCTAATCAGCTTTTGTGTGTCTGGGGCTCAGGTCTTCTAGAGGAGGAAACAGTGTCATCAGCCAGAACTTGAGCTGCAGGTAATTGGCCAGGTGATGCTGACCAGAGCCCAAAAAGGCTCCCTTCCTGCCCACCTCACTGGCCCCAGGCATGCCAGATGCTATGGCACCTAGCTGGCCCTGGAGAGAGAGAGGTGGCTTGTCTGTGCCCTCTCTAAATTCACTCTCTAGCAGGATAGCCATTCCTGCAGGTGGCCTTTGGGGAGGGTGTGTGTTGTTTGGGTGGAATATTTGGGAGGCTGCACAAACAAGATGTTCCAGAGGGCTCAGCAGATGACATTTTTCAGGCTGTGGGCTGTGGCCAGTTTCTCTGTCCTTGCCCTCCCTTGGCTGTCACCCTGGAAAGGGAGGTGGAAACTGACTCCAGCTGTTTCTCTGGGCTGCTTCATCTCATGCACATACCATCCAGGGATAACCCAGCCAGTCAGGGTACTAGGGACAGGGATGGGGCCTGTGAGAGGTGGCCATGCAATCACTATCCCCTGCTCAGGCTGTCCCACCATGTGGAAAGTCTTCCCTGATGCCAGTGGCAGAGCTAGAGTGAGGCTGCATACTTTCATCACCAGCCAGCAACTGGCCATAATGCTCAGAGTTGAGTGGGCAGGACTGGTCAGCCATTCACTTAGAAGCCATGCCTGCAGGTCTGGGCGTGGTGGCTCACACCTATAATCCCAGCATTTTGGGTGACCAAGGCAAGAGAAATGCTTGAGCCCAGGAATTCAAGCCCAGCCTGGGCAACATAACAAGACCTAGTCTCTACCCCCAAAAAACTTCTTTTAATTAGCCTGGCATGGTGGCACACATCTGTAGTCCCAGCTACTCAAGAGGCTAAGATAAAAGGATCACCTGAGCCCAGGAGGTCGAGGCTGTGGTGAGCTGTGATCATGTCACTGCACCCCAGCCTGGGTGACAGAATGAGACTCCTCCCTCAAAAAAAAAAAACAAAAGCCTCTCCTGGGCCTAAGGCCCCATGAACAGATCTACTTGACTCGTATTTGCCCCAGGAGTGATGAGAGCTGACGTCAGTGAGCACCTACCTGGTGCCAGGGCCAGGTGTGTGTCTCCAGCACACCAGATGTGTCAGTTTGAGGTTCCCCAACCTAGCTAGACACCAACACCCTCTGGGCACTTGTTACAAATACAGACTTCTGGGGCCCAACCCAGTTTGATTGGGCACTAGGGGGAAGGGGATGCTTAAGAACTACTAGTGCCCAGGTGCCCAAGTGAGCACATCAGAGGAGGTGGGGGTCTCTGGCGTGAGTGGCCAACTGTGATCCATCTAGCATGTGTGGCTTATAGCCCTTGTGTCCTGAGAGGCCCCTTTGTGGCACCGTCTACTGGATTCTGTTCCCTCGCCGTTGTTAGGGTGGCAGAAGTGGCAAGTTAGGGGGGTGCTGGGCTTCTACCCTCCTGGGGCTCCCAGTTTCTCTGTGTTCAGGTGAGATCTCAGGGAGGAGAGAAGGGTCCCTGAAATGTATGAGTGTTAGCAGGCATGGTGTCCAGAGCCAGGGCTCTGAGTAGAGGAAGCTGGTCTGCTGAGGGTGGAAGCCTCTCCCTGGAGACTGGGGGGAGGCTGAGGGAGACCATTGGGCTGGCCCTGCTCAGATGTTTTGCTGTCCCCAGGCCTACACTGGGATAACCATCTCCCCCTGTGCCAGTCCCAGAAACAACCCAATTCTGGTCCCTGCCCCACCACTTCCTCCCAGGCTTCTGGGGGTCTTGGCCTTGGTGCTTCTCAGGCAGCAGAGGCCACTAGACTTGTGCCACTGTCAGAGTGTATGTGTGTGTGTGGGGGGTTGTTTCTTTGTTCTCCATCACTTTCCTCCCAGGACATTGCCAGGCCCTGCCCATGGGGGCTGCCCTATTGGGACACCCAAAGACCACAACCCATTTGCCCTTTTCTAGTGTGAGACAGAAAGAGTCACATGGGGTGTCAGGGTACAAGGCGGGGTCCAGGTCACTTTTGTTTCCAGAGGATGGTGGAGTGTCCACCAAGAGCATGCTCTCCTCCCTGGGCTATCCCTCAGCCTAGTGTGAAAAATGGGGTACAGGCTGCCTACTCTGGGGTCCACTCAGTCCTGAAGGTCTGGCTCTGGTCTACTTGTTCCCATACCTCCCCTCATAGCCAGAAAGCCCTTTAGCCTCCTGGAGGGAGCCCTAAAGTTAAGGAGGTTGAGGAATGGCTCAGGGCCATAGGCAAGGGCCTGCAGGGCTGAGTGACCAGCTCCAAGGGGCACTCCAGTGGGTTAGGAGAGGAACACTGGGTGGATCTCGTGCCGATGGGGCAGTCCTGCTGAGCTGGGTGACCACTGCCCAGTACCCCGACATCCCTGCCCTGGGCCACAGCCATGCTGCCCACGAGAGCCCTTAACACCTGTTGGAACTTTGCAGCGGGAGCCTTGTGAGAAGAGGTGTGTAGCTTCGGTCATTGCCCACTCTTCTTGCTGGATTCTTGCCCCTGAAGGGGAGACTGCCATAGCCTTGGCTTCTCCCTTCTGCACAGGCAGGCATGGGGGGCACTGTGGAAATAGGAGCAGGCTGCTAGGAAGACTTGCTCAGCTAGCAGAGTGGCAGGGAGGCTATATTTTGCTTTGTCCCTTCTAGTGCCACCTTGATACTGGCCCCTTTTCCCATTACAGATGACAGGGCTACCCAGAGTCCCCAAATGGGAGCCATTCTGAGTCCACTGCTCCTTCTCCGGTTATTTGACTGGGATGAATCTTCCTTTTCCAATTACCTAAGGACCACTTGGAGGGCTCCTGCTGTTCAAGTCACTGCCCAAATGCCCCCTCCCATGGGAAGTCTTCCCTGATTGATTTCCCTCTCTGGAGAAGCTAGCTGTGGAGGAAGAGATCCATAATAAATTGGCCACACACAGGAGCTTTCTCCACACCAGGTGTAAGGCCTTCCTTAGGATGCCACTGGTAAGATGCTGGGATAGGCTAGAGCCCCCCAAAGACTCTAATACTGTCCTTTGCATGACTTGGGGATGGGAGATGCCCAGAAAAATAAGCCACACTTCTTTAAACACATAGCCAACATCAGCACTGCATGCATAAAACCCTCTTCCTCAGCAAGAGGATTGCTTGAGCTTAGAGGTTCGAGACCAGCCTGGGCAATTTGTCGAGACCTTGTCTCTACAATCAATCAAAAAATTAGCTGGATATGGTGGCACACAGCTGTAGTTCCAGCTACTTGGAAGGTTGAGGTGGCAGGATCGCCTGAGCCCAACAGGTTGTGGCATACTCATGGCCACCACACTCCAGCCTGGGTGACAGAGTAAGACTGACTCAAAAAAAAAAAAAAAGTCCAGGTGCGGTGGCTCATGCCTGTAATCCAAGCACTTTGGGAGGCGAAGGTGAGAGGATTGTCTAAGCCCACGGGTTTAAGACCAGCCTAGGCAACATGGTGAGACTTTGTCTCTACAATAAATCAAAAAATTAGCTGGGCATGGTGGCGTATGCCTGTAGTTCCAGCTACTTGGAAGGTTGAAGTGGAAAGATCACCTTAGCCCAGTAGGTCAAGGCTGTGGTGGCATGAGCAGCATGACACTGCACTCCAGCCTGGGCGACAAAGTGAGATTCCGACTCAAAAAAAAAACCTCCTCCTTTTCACACCATTAGGGCAGAATCCTATGAGGCACTGTGGCCTTGTCCTCACTCTTTTGGAGGGATCAGTGACTCCTATGGGGATGTTGCCCAGAAGTCCTCCCATCAACTCTTGGGCTGGTGAGTGACCTAGACAGCTCAGTGACCTCCTGCTGTGCCTATCCCACTCCCTCACTGGGGCCTGTAGGAGCCTCTTACCCTCTCCTTACTGAACATGGGTCTATCCTACTGGCCTGCCTATGTCTCCAGGGCTGCAGGCAGCAGAGTCTTGTAATAGCCTAAAGCCCTGCTGTGT